GGTCCCAGAGTCTGCAGGGCCAGAGGCCGGTAACTGAGCCCCTGGAAATGGGTCATAACCAGTGCCCCTGCTTTACAGAAGGGAAACCGAGGCACAGAGACAGGACTTAGTTTACTCCTCCTGGTCACACAGTGGCTGTGTCTAGACTGGCAAGTTTTTCCGCAAAAGCAGCTGCAAAAGTTTTGCGCAAAAGGGCCAGTGTAGACAGCTCAGATTTGTTTTGCGCAAAAAAGCCCCAATCGCAAAAATGGCGATTGGGGCTTTTTTGCGCAAAAGCGCGTCTAGATTGGCACAGACGCTTCCCTGCAAAAAGTGCTTTTGCGGAAAAGTGTCCGTGCCAATCTAGATGCTCTTTTCCGCAAATGCTTTTAACGGAAAACTTTTCCATTAAAAGCATTTGCGGAAAATCATGCCAGTCCACTGCTCCCGGCTGCGGGGAAGGGCCCAGAGGCTGCAGGGCCAGAGGCCGGTAACTGAGTCCCTGGAAATGGGTCATAACCAGTGCCCCTGCTTTACAGAAGGGAAACCGAGGCACAGAGACAGGACTCAGCTTACCCCAGTCACACAGTGAGCCTTGTGCACACAGGGAATAGAAACCCCCTCCGCCCCCCACACACTCTCACTTTAACCCAGGACAGAGCAGGCTGCTCCTTGCTGTGAATCTGCACAGGGAGGGGAAAGCTCCCTGCACTGCCCCAGTGTCCGGCCAATAGGAGCTGGGAAAGTCAGCTAAAGGTAGGGGAGGCAATGGCCCCTCCCTCTGCCCCCCACGCCCTCCCTGTGCTGGAGCAGAGCCACATGAGGGAGGGTGGGAAGAGCTAGAGAAGGAGGGAGGGGCCAGGATAGCGGGGGTGGGGCATCAGAGAGGGGCAGGGCAAGGCTGGCGCCCCTCCGTGTTGCTGGGGGTGGGCAAACAGCTGGGGGTCTCTTCCCTGGATCCAGCGCAGGGGGTCTGGCAGGTCCCAGTGCAGGCTGGGCTGACAGCACAAGGACAAACCAGAGCGGCTGGGGCTGGAGGAACAAGCTGATGTCACCTTCCCAGGGGAACGGCCCCAAAACCAATGAAGCCTCCTGCCTCTCCCCCCCCACCCCCACACACACACCCTTCCTGTGCTAAAACGGAGCCACGTGAGGGAGGGTGAGACAGAGAGAGGGGCCAGTACAGCGGGGGTGGGGCATCAGAGAGGAGCAGGGCAAGGACTAGGGTGGGAAGGGCCAGAGGAGGAGAGAGGGTGTTTGTGCAAGTGGAAAGCTGGCGCCCCTCCGTGTTGCTGGGGGTGGGCAAACAGCTGAGAGTCTGCTCCCCTGGATCCAGCGCAGGGGGCCTGGCAGCTCCCAGTGCAGGCTGGGCCGGCAGCAGAAGGACAAACCAGAGCGGCTGGGGCTGGAGGAACAAGCTGATGTCACCTTCCCAGGGGAACGGCCCCACGGCGCGGAGTCCCCCCGCAGGGTGCTCCTAGAGCCACGCTCCACTTTGCTCTGGTTCTGTGCTTGAACCCAGGCAGCCGCCTCGCTCCCATTCCATGCTGGGACCTGCCCTGGGACACCACTGCTTGCTGGTCTTGGTCACATCTGCTCAGGCCCTGCGGTGTCTTTTGCAAAGCACGTGGTGGTCACCTCTGCTCAGGCCCTGCCGTGACACCAGGGTGGGATCCTGGCCTGGGCTCTAGCAAAGGGCAGGTGCCAGGGGCCCACCCTGACATACGTTCCTGAGGGGGCAGAGACTCCCACGCCGGCAGCTGGGGAGAGAAGAGGAAACCGTCAGGAGCAGAGAGGGGCCCTCGCACCCCAAAGCTTCCCAGCCCCACGACACCTGCGGGAAGGTGGCGCTGGAAGGGGCAGATTCCAGAGCAGTTGGGGCCAGACACGGCAGTGACAAGTGCTGGGACCCAGGAGACTAGGGGTGTCCCAGGCCAGCAGCCCATCGGCTGCCCCACCCCGCTCCGAACCCTGGTGCACAGAGGACCCCATTGGTACCGCCCCTAGTTGGCCCTCACCGAAGCAGAGCCAGAGGCCCAGAAGGTCCATGGCTGCCCCGTTGAACTGCTCCTTCCTGCCACGATCCGGTGCCAAGAGCCTCTCACCCTCCCACCAGGGCAGCCCCTTTTATGGCCTGCTCAGGGCTCTGCTGGCCAGCGAGGGAGGAGCCGGCCCGAGGGCTGGTCACAAGGGCACTTCCCGGCACCTCGCGCTGGCTCAGCACGTCCCGGGGCAGGGCACAGCTCTGCGGTCTAGAGCGCTGCCTGCCAGTGACCCTGCAGATGTCAGTCCCTGCCTCCCCCACGGGGAGGTTTAGCTCCTTCTGGCCCCAGAGCCAGCAGGCTGGGCCCAAGGAGGGACTCTGCTCTGGACAGGGTGGGCCAGGCTGTGGTGCTGGGCCTGGGGTGGCAGAGTGGGAGGCTGGAGCGGCTGGGGAGCCCAGAGGTGGGGGAGTGGAGTCCAGCCACGGCCAGCGAGGACAAGCCAAAGCCCCAACCCTGCACAGCACCTGGCCTGCCTCCTGCACCCTGGGCCGGGGGCCCAGACTCTCTGGACTAAGCAGCCTGGGCTCACAGCCTGGGTGGCAGAGACACCGAGACAAGCCCCCGCCTGACACAGGGTGGCAGAGAGCTGAGTCCCCCGCAGGGGAGGTGCAAGTACCCTCTCCCCTCCCCCCACGCAGCATGTGTGGCGTTCGGCTCTGGCCAGCCCCTGCCACCCTCTTACCTGCTGTCCAGTCCAGGGGGGGAGGCCCTGCATTGTGTGGAGTCCTACGCAGCCGCTTCTGCCTCAGCACGTCCCTGTCTAGGACCGGAAAATACCGTGTTACGGTCCTTTGCTTTCCGGTGACTAGCGAAGGGGACCCCGCCAGGACCCAGCCATCGCCAGGGAAACTGGGGTCCAAAAGGAAGTTCTTAGGGAACTAACTCTGAGACACACCCCCAAGCTCAGACCTCACACCCTGCACCCACACCTGGCAGGAAGCCAGGACCCCACATGGCCCGATCCTGGCCAGCTGGCAGGAAACTTCACTTCAGCCGGGAGCGCTGTGCACTGAGTGTCTGCAGTCTCTTCGGGTGGCTGCTAATACACAGGGGATCCGGGTATGACTGAGTCAGGCTCTGCACTGGCAAAAAGGCCCTGCAAGCCCCCAGATTCTGCCCTGATCCCCAGGGCCACGGTGTGAGCAGGTGCCTTTCCCACAGGCCCCTAGGGACTGGGAACAGGTCTGGGAACTGGCACAAGGTGGGTGCCCTGCCCTAGCCTCTGTAGGTGACACCTCCCAGAGTGGGCATGGCCCAGAGAGTCCTGGCTCCCAGTAGGGTTACCAGATGGTTTAAAAAAAATACTGGACACACTTGATCTCAGATGGTGGGGGGGAGACGAGTTGGAAGGGGAGCGGGGCTGGATGGGAGGGAGTTGGGGGAAGTGGGGCTGGCCAGAGAGGGAGCAGTAGGAGAGAGAATCGGCCAGTGGGGAACAGGGCTGGCCCGGGCGCATGCAGATCCGACGAGTTGGAAGGGGAGCGGGGCTGGATGGGAGGGAGTTGGGGGAAGTGGGGCTGGCCAGAGAGGGAGCAGTAGGAGAGAGAATCGGCCAGTGGGGAACAGGGCTGGCCCGGGCGCATGCAGATCCCAGGGTGCTGCCCATCCCGTGCATGATCCCTGAGGGGCACACGGGCAAATCTGGCCCCGGGGAATCCATCCCGGCCCTGCCTCTCCCCCGCTCTCTTCTGCGTAGCTGCGTACTGCCTGGCTGGTAGACACACTCACGCACCATGAGCATGTCTACTAGCCAGGCAGTACCCTACGTACTGATACTCATGATAATAATAAAACATACTTAATTAGAAAACAGAAATTTCTAT